TACTGTTCTGCAGTTTTCGCTGACGTGTAACTAGAGTGAATTTCTTAATACTTATCCTTCTTGCCACAAATTGTGCTTCCTATATTTGTGTATATTTGTCTTTTTTTTTTTTTTTTTTTTTTTTTTTTTTTTTTTTTTGAGATGGAGTCTCACTCTGTCACCCAGGCTGGAGTACAGTGGCGCAATCTCAGCTTACTGCAACCTCCACCTCTCCAGTTCAATCAATTCTCCTGCCAGCCTCCTGAGTAGCTGGGATTACAGGCATACACCACCACACCCCGCTAATTTTTGTGTTTTTAGTAAAGACGGGGTTTCACCATGTTGGTCAGGCTGGTCTCAAACTCCTGACCTTGTGATCCACCCACCTCGGCCTCCCAAAGCATTGGGATTACAGGCGTGAGCCACTGCACCCGACCTTGCCTTTTTATTTTTATTTATTTATTTAGAAACAGGGTCTTGCTCTGTAGCCCAGGCTGGAGTGCAATGGTGCAATTATAACTTACCATAACCTCCAACTCCTGGGCTCAAACAATCCTCCCAGCTCAGCCTCCCAAGTAGCTAAGATTACCACACCTGGCAATCTTTTATCTTAATTTTTATGTTATAGAGACAGAGTCTCACTATGTTATTAAAGCTGGTCTTGAACTCCTGTCCTCAAGTGATCCTCCCACCTTGGCCTCCCAGAGCACTGGGAATACAGGTGTGAGCCACTGTGCCCAGATGGATCCTTGTCTTTCATCAGTTCTTGAAAATTGTCAGCCATTTTCTCTTTAAATATTACCTTGTCCCCATTTTTTTTTCACTTCTCTTCTATTGGGATTCCAATTTCACATGTTAGACCTCCTCCTTCTTTGTCTCTTAACTTTTCTGTTTGCTTGTCTCTGTTGCATTCTGGAGAATTTCTTCAGATCCATCTTTCAGTACACTAATTCTTTCATTGGCTGTATCTTCTGTTTAACCAAAATTATGGTTCCATTTTAGCAGTTACATACACTTTTTATTTCTTGATGTTCTATTTTTTGTAGATATATGTGGACATTGTTTATGATCTCTTATCCCTTGCTCTTTTATTTTTCTACTCTGTTTTTTTATTTCTTTTTTTTTTTTTTTTTTTTTTTTTTTTTTTGAGACGGAGTTTCGCTCTTGTTACCCAGGCTGGAGTGCAATGGCGCGATCTCGGCTCACCGCAACCTCCGCCTCCTGGGTTCAGGCAATTCTCCTGCCTCAGCCTCCTGAGTAGCTGGGATTACAGGCACACACCACCATGCCCAGCTAATTTTTTTGTATTTTTAGTAGAGACGGGGTTTCACCATGTTGACCAGGATGGTCTCGATCTCTTGACCTCGTGATCCACCCGCCTCAGCCTCCCAAAGTGCTGGGATTACAGGCTTGAGCCACCGCACCCGGCTGTTTTTTTATTTCTTTAAACATTTTCCAATAGCTTCTTTAGATTCTTTATCTGATTATTCCAAACTCTGAAGTCCTTAAAAGTTTAAACCTGTTGATTATTCTTTCTGCTGATTTTCTCCTTCATGATAGTTTGAAGCCTTAGGTATTTAGTAATCTTTTGTGAGTTTATATTTGGCAGAATTTAATGCAGAAGGCTGGATAGAGGATGCTTTCCTCCAAGGAGGATTTGACTTGCTGCTACTTGACCCTGGGGAGCATTAATAATCTGGAGCCACTTAAATTTTTCAGTTTATGGTTTACTTGATCTAAGGGAAAGTAAAACTTCCAACCACAGGTCAATGTAAGAGTAAGTCTCACATGGAAACTAACATTTTTATTAATTTTAATATCTAGTGCTGCATCCAAGGTGGATTTCCTTGTAGGTTCCCTTATGAGCAGTGGACTTTTCCCTTTCCACTAAGAATGCAGCCACTTTCAGGGTCCCAGCTTTATAGGGAATAGGAGTGTTTCAGATTCATCTCTCCCATCTTCCTGGGTCCCAGGGCTTATTCTTGAGTTCTCCCCCAACTCCCATACCTATACACAAATCCCAAAGCTCTAGGTTTCTAGTTAACCTCTCTGTTTACTTACTGTTTACTTTTTTGTTTTGTATTATTTTATTTTGCTGGTTTTAGAGGTATGCCCTTGGGGGAATTACCTTTACCTTCTTGGGAGGTCACTAATGAATTTAAATATATATGTATGTTGCACTTTCTGTAGCATTTAGGTATCTGCTATAGGAGGTTCTGAAGAATATCAAATCTGTTCTACAACTAGAAAATTATTTTTAAAATAAACAAAAAGGTGATTATATCATTTTATAACTTGCTTTTTTCCCCACTTAATATATGATAAGCACCTTTATATTAATAAGTATAGATCTGCAGCATAATTTTAATGGCTTCATAGTCGTCCATTGCATATGTATTCAATCACTTTTTATTGTGGAATATTTAGAGTTCTATTTATTTCACTATTATAAGCAATATATGTCAGTGAATATCTTTATAACTAAATCTTTGCATGCATCATGAATTTATTTTCTGTATAACTGTTTATAAAATTAATACGTGCCCATTGTAAAAAAATTAAACGCTAAAGACAATGAAAATTCTCTCCTCAATTAATACTATTTGGTCTACAATTAGAATCTCTTACACAACAGATGGGAATTAAGACTCGAATATACAAAGAGAGACCACATAGATCCCCCACAATCCCCTACCCCTACAACAATCAGGGATAGGGAACCAGAGATGAACTGAAGGTAATCAGACAATCAGGAGCAGGGAACTGAAGGAATAAGAAATACCCAAGTAAGGCCAGGTGCGGTGGCTCACACCTGTAATCCCAGCACTTTGGGAGGCTAAGGTGGGTGGATCACGAGGTCAGGAGTTGAAGACCATCCTGGCCAACATGGCTGAAACCCTGTCTCTACTAAAAATACAAAAATTAGACAGGCAAGGTGGTGCATGCCTGTAGTCCCAGCTACTCGTGAGGCTGAAGCAGAAGAATCGCTTGAACCTGGGAGGCAGAGGTTGCAGTGAGCCGATATCACATGACTGCATTCCAGCCCGGGCAACAGAGTGAGACTCTGTCGCAAAAACAAAATACTAATTAAATTTTTAAAAAATACCCAAGTAGACTTCAAAAGCCTGGGACATCTGTGGTCAGAGACAGCAGTCCTCAGAAAAGACCAGGGCTCCAAAATCCAGGAATGAGCCTCTGCCTCTGCCATGCCGCCTTGCTGGAGGCTGAGGGTCCTGTTAGGCACTTAATCTAAGGTTCTTCTCCCTGCTCTTCCTTCTTTTAAAGGGGCTGTTTATTTTGAGTCAAAACGTAGTATAGGCCCTAATACCACACCCAACCCTGTGCTTCACAGTGGTTTATCCCTGATTCTCAGGGTCTTGTCCCAATCTGAAAAAAACCAGTTATGATGCCTTTCCAACTCCTTCTGCCTGCTCCCTTCAAGTGGAGATATTGAGCCCAGGTTATTCTCTCTAAAGAGAATCACAAAGGGAGTAGCTGCCCCTTCCCATGGCTCTCAGCTTCTGACTAGGCTTTTCTGAGGACCTGCTACACTTCTTGCCTTCTTAGATTCTGTGTGATACCACCATATCTCTATACTAAAGCCTACTTCAGATGGATTTCATGAACTGTGCAGGTGAGAGCCCTCAATCCCTACAGGAACCCAATCTCTTCTTTCCTCCTAATGAATATGGAGCTTTATCTAGGATGATCAGTGCCTAAGGAAGGCTCAGTATTTTTGATTGTTCATTTATTCATTCAATTCAACAAATATTTATTGGGTACCTGCCATTTATTGGCTTTTAAGGAGACTACGGTTGAACAATTCCCTCAATAGCTCCAAAATAGCATGAGCTGACCCCACCAGAAGCCATGACATGGCTCTCCAGGAGTTGTTCTAGAAAAAACTGCTAGTCACTTCTGCCTCAACCAGCCCATGGACCACTGGACAAAATGGAAAGCAAGTACCAAGGTGAGCACCTTTTAGTGAGAGCCAACACACAACCCACAGGATTGAGTCTACCTGTGAAGGACTGAGTGCCTAGGGCTGGCCCTAGCTTGTTCCCACAACCCCCAGTCATGGGGTCAGACCTTAGAAAGGTAAAATATGGACACCTTTTTTCTGCCCTAAATCTTTAAGACTCTGCCTGCTCCTGGGTTATCAAAGCACATGCTCCTGTGTCCAGAGCATGTGCTTGTCAGGAATATTAATGAGGGTGTTTGCATGCAAGAGCTGTCATGCAAGAGAGAGGGCAGGAAAGCTCTGAGGTGTTTCCACTGCAGTGTACACCACAATGTCAGCAACCTTCTGGCTGGGCTGATATATCTAGCCTTACCACAATGCCCTGGGAGTGGTTTTAGGGCCTGCCAGCTCCAGCAGCTCCTGTTCATAGGGCATATAAGACCCTATCAATGCCAAGGACTTGCCTCTCAAGAGCAGCAATAGGGACTGGGCAGGAATACAGATAGGGGTCCTTCACTACATCGTTGGATGCTTCACACCTTCCCCAACCACCTGCACGACCAGCTGAGTGGTACAGCCCTGAAGTCTATGTGAAAACAGGAAAACTTGATGGTTCAGAGCCATTATTTCTATATGGGCTTAGGCAAGGTACTTAAACTCTCAGTGTCTTAGTTTCCTCATCCATAAAAAGGTAATAAAAGCAGTACCTATCCCCTTAGGGTTCATGTGAGAATTAAATAAGCTAATACATGTACTTGGTGCGTAGTAAGTTGGCTATAATCTTAGGACAGCTGTGTGAGAGCTGAGCCCCAAAACCGTAAAACCCTCCTAAGCACCATACCCACTCATGGCCTGGCAGGTGGTGGAGCAGGAAATCCTGTGGGAAAAGGGAAGGCGTTGGCTGTAGGAGTGGGTCGATTGTGGATTCCTGGAAGGTGAGGACTCCTTCCCTAACATCCTCAATGCCCAGCTACACCCAACCTGGCCGCGGCACGCAACAGGCGCCCAAGAAACGCTAGTTAGAGAGAAAAGCACTAGCTTTCGCTCTGCCCCCTGCCCCACCCCAGGGGCGGGGCTGTAGAGGCGCCTGAAAGGGAAGTTGTTCAGTCAACTCGGAATAGGGGTAGCAACCCGGAAAGTGGAATCACCGTCTTGGTCTAGAGACCGACGCCTGTACAGGCAGACCCCTTCCCCTCTCTACCAAAGACCGCAGCCCCGGAAGTCACTCCATCTCCTGCAGCTCGCAGTTTCCAGCGGCCCCCTCGTACCTTCCAGCCCGATGTCTCACGTCAAGTTATGGTGAGTAGGGAGTGGCATGTGGACCGCAGCCTCCGACACTCACCCCCAGAGCGACCCGCGACTCGCTCAGAGAACGCCTTTGGGTCCGGGAACCGACGGGGTTGGGGGGTGCGGGGAGGCTGCGATTGCAGTGGGCGCGCCGAGCCACGGGGGCGGGGGCGGCAGCGCCGACGCGCGGCGCGGCCGGCTGCAGGGCGACACCCCTCTCTCAGGTGGAACCGTGCTTCGGCCTCCTTGGTGTTAGACGAGGAATTGGAGAACCCCAGGCTCGTCGGCTCGGGCGGGTTCGGCACCGTGTTCCGGGCGCATCACAGGAAGTGGGGCTGTGATGTGGCGGTCAAGATCGTGAACTCGTGAGTGACCTGGGTTGCCCGCCGGCCAAGGTCTGGGCAAAAAGGTGGAGCCGCGGTGCTCTGGGACCTGAATGGGGAAGGGAGGGATTCTCCCGGGACCCCCGTGAGACTCCAGCTCTCTCCTGGAGTGTAGGAAAGCGATATCCAGGGAGGTCAAGGCCATGGCAAGTCTGGATAACGAATTCGTGCTGCGCCTGAAAGGGGTCATCGAGAAGGTGGGGTGGGACGAAGACTTCAGGCCGGCTCTGGTGACTGAATTCATGGAGAACGGCTCCCTGTCGGGGCTGCTGGATCCCCAGTGCCCTCGGCCCTGGCCACTCCTTTGCCGCCTGCTGAAAGAAGTGGTGCTCGGGATGTGTTACCTGCATGAGCAGGACCCGGTGCTCCTGCACCGGGACCTCAAGCCATCCAACATCCTGCTGGACCCAGAGCTGCACGTCAAGGTTAGCTGGTCTACACCCCTCTCAGCCTCAGGACAAGGCCCGACCCCAGAGCTGCTCCAGCCAGGCCCACCAGACACTAGACCTGCAGAGCCCTGTTTTTTGGAATAGGCACAGTCTCTCCCTCTGGACTCAGAGCTGTCAGGGGACAAAGTCCAGCCGGGAGTTTTAGCTCTTGCCATACCAGGTGATAGAGGCCCTGACCCACACGAGTCATTTCCACCAGCTGTCCCACCAGTCCCTGGAGACTCAGACTTTGACTCAGCCCTACCACAGGGCACCTAGATCTACCATCCAAGGGAACCCCTTCCCTTGACTTTCACGCTCCCTTTACAAAGCTGAACCTGCACCATCTGGGGGTAGGGAGGATTCTGGAGGCTGCCTGGCCCCTTTGTCTTCCCTACTTCCCCCTTCTTCCCTTCATTTGCAGCTGGCAGATTTTGGCCTGTCCACATTTCAGGGAAGCTCACAGTCAGGGTCAGGGTCCAGGGAGCCAGTGGGCACCCTGGGCTACTTGGCCCCAGAACTGTGTGTTAATGTAAACCGGAAGGCTTCCCGAGCCAGTGATGTCTACAGGTAAGGATCCCACCCCAAACACACAGCCGGGATTCCTACACCTCTCTTGGCTCTCCTAGGGAATGGCATATAGGAAGGGAGTCTTGACAGTGATTGGAGCTGTCCTCAGCTTTGTGTCTCCTGCAGCTTTGGGATCCTAATGTGGGCAGTGCTTGCTGGAAGAGAAGCTGAGTGTAAGACTCTAGGCGGATTCTGGGATCCTTAACCCCAGGTGCCCTTCTGAAAGCCCCAAGGCTTCCCCTTCCTGCTCATCTACTTAAACTGCCCTCCTCCCTCTTGGTGCCCCCACATTACACTCCCTGCCTCTTTCCATGATGGACAGATATTCCCTTTTACCCAGAATGCCTTCTCTTCTCACCCACCTCCCCTACTCCAGTGCCGACCGTAGCATCGCTGGTGTATGGAGCAGTGCACCAGAGGGAGGCCCGGCCCTCACTGAACGAGCTGCCCCAAGCTGGGCCTGAGACTCCCGGCTTGGAAGGACTGAAGGAGTTAATGCAGCTCTGCTGGAGCAGTGAGCCCAAGGACAGACCCTCCTTCCAGGGTGAGCTGGCCAGTTAGCTGGATCTGGGGTAAGCTTGGGTCTGTCAGCAGGGGGCTCTTCTCAGGAAAAGATTTGCTCACCTGCAACCCACTCTGCTGTCCCTCTAGAATGCCTACCAAGAACTGATGAAGCCTTCCAGCTGGTGAAGAACAATGTGAATGATGCTGTCTCCACAGTGAGCTCCCAACATCATCCCTCCCTAGGAGCTGGTCAGGGATAGCACAACATGACTCTCTAGCCGTACAATGACTTACCACTGATCACCACTTTTTATGCCTTGAACCTTGTCCTCACCCTCCCCCGCCCACCCCTGAGTTCCCAGACAACAGATTATGGACCAAGAGACTACTCCCTTGGGTTTACTCTGGCTCATCCAAGTCATACCAAGCAAACTCCTCCATCCCTGCAGGTAAAGAATTTCCTGTCTGAGCTCAGGAGCAGCAATAGGTCAGGCCAAGGAAAGACAGAAATGGATGGCTTTGGGAGAACCACAGAAAGGCAGCACTGTTATGATGATTTCATGGATTCTGACCTGCTAAACAAACTGAATCTAGAGGAGTCTTCCAGCTGTGTTCCTGAAAAATACCTGAGCCTTACCAAGAAGAGCAGGGCACAAGAGGAGCAGGTTCCACAAGCCAGGACAGCAGGGACATCTTCAGATTCAATGGCTCAACCTCCCCAGACTCCAGAGACCTCAACTTTCAGAAACCAGACGCCCAGCCCCACCTCAACTGGAACACCAGATCCTGGACCCCAAAGGAATCAGGTGAGATATTGGCAGGATTAGGGGATGCACTAGAACTCCTATAAATCCTGTCCCCTTGCCAGGGAAAACTTGGAGCTGAGAGGAGTGCAGTGGGAGCACCAGACTCCGGGTCGGGATGGAACTGAATGCTCTGTGCTGTTTGCAGGGGGCTGAGAGACATGGCACGAACTGGTCCTCCAGGAACCCGGAGCCAAATCCAGGAACAGGTACCCACTGTCTACCTCTTTTTTTTCCTGTTCAATTATTCCACCAGACTCTTCCTCCAGACCTATATCTAGATTCAGGGTACCTTGTGGAGGGGAAGGGAGAAGACCATCTAACTTAACCTTCTCATTTCATAAATGGGAAAACTGACATTCCCTAAGAAAGGAGTGCTCTGCGGTCTCACAGTAAAGCTTGGCTTTGTCCCTGAGTTTTCTAACTTTCCACAACACCAGCTCTGTGTGTTGTCCCTAAGTTCCATTGTTGTTTCAGCAGTCCAGAGGACCTCCCGGCAAAAAAAATCAGGGTCTCAAATGTCCATTGCCACTCTCTAGAGCTTCTGCTAACCGAATTCTGGAGAGGAACTCTGAAGGGGAGGGCACAGGGCACACCTTGACAGAAGCCACTGACAAGTGGAAACCTCATACTCCCCACCCACCCTCAACTTTGCCTTTCTGACAGCTAAACCCTCCTGCCACCATCACTTTTTCTCTTAAAGGGACACCATCTGTTACCTTACACGACTGCTCTGGGGTGCAAATTGGAAACCACAACTACTTGACTATGCTACTGATGAGAGGGGAGACCCCCTCCCCTCCTCCGACTTCCCAGCCGCCACCTCCTCCTCCCCACCCGATGGGGAGGAGGGTATAGGCTGGTCACAGTGGCTCATGCCTGTAATCCCAGCACTTTGGGAGGCCTAGGTGGGTGAATCACCTGAGGTCAGGAGTTCGAGACCAGCCTGGCCAACATGGGGAAACTCCATCTCTAAAATAAAATAAAATACCAAAGAACTGGGAAGAACCTCTTCAGTTCCCAGTGTCTCTGCTATCTGTAAGCCTTGAAAGAGTTGCGAATGAATGTTATCCCTACCAGCTGGAGCCTGGCACTGGGTCAGCCCCCACGACTGCATGGCCGGCTCCCTCCTGGAAACACCTCTGCCAACAAATAGTTTACTGCCTTTGTCCAGTCTCTGTAAGCCCTCTCCACTGCCTGTTCCCACTCACACTGCGTATGAATTAGCAAATCAATGAAGCCAAAGATCGTATGTCCAACAAATGGACAATGACATAGTTTCACCTCAGTTTCCCCCTTTAGTATTGTAAGCCTCTAAAAGGGGAGAGAAGCTGCTTCTGGGGAGCTCCGTGAATGAGGCTGTAGCCCGCAGCAGCTCCCGGCCAAACAAAAATCCACTTCCTTCCTCACCTTGGTGTTCCAGAGGTTTGTTTCTCACCGCTCATGCTTCACAGACAACTGCCTTGCCCACCCAGGGTCTGGCACCTTTGGGCATGGGCAGAGGCTGGCAGCACTCCCCACCAGTAGGTTTGCAAGAAGGCCCTAAAGAACATGAAGCCTGGAGTGAGCCACAGAGTGGGTATAATCATAGTGGGAAATAAAGCACCTTCTGAGCCTGCCTCCAAGAGTTAAGAGTTAAGGAAGAGCGCCACCCGGTGAGGCCCCTGACTTCCTTTTAGGGCAGTCTGGCCGGCCCACAAACTGACTTTGTGATCTGTCCCCCAGGAGTCAATAAACATGATGGAATGCTAGCCAAAGTCTGAGCTCAGCCAGGGGGACAGGGAGGGACTGGAATGGGGGTGGGGGCTGCCAGTGAGGGAGAGGGAGGCACCACAGCTTTGCTAAGGCAGGAAGTGGGGATGCTGGGGGCTGGGAGTGGGCAACAGCCTGGCACACAAGGTCAGGGCCCAGCCGTCTACAACAGGAAGGAATGAATCCCAGAGGCCTGGTTCCCCAGACCACTCTAATCTCAGGGTGGTGCTTCCTTCCTCTAAAGCCTAGGATGGTAACCCCACCCTAACCCTAAACTCCAGGGATAGAAGCTGTGGTCCCTTCTCTTCTGAGCTTTCAAGACTCGGTTGTGGGGCCATGGGGAGGGATGTGTCTATGTGAAACATAGCAGACCAGGCCCTGCACAGTGCCCCCAGGCTCTTGGAGGTCATGGTGCCCCATACCTGTCTCCAACACACACTCAGTTTGCTTCCTAGACATTGCTTCCCTTTTGATTCCCAGCTGCTGTTCAGGAGTGGAAAGCTATGGCTCCTAAAGTTACATACACGAGCATCCCCTCCCACAGAGCATGAACAGTTCAAACCTGGTGGCGGTGGTTGCCAGCCAGTCCGAGAGGGGTGGGGAATTAGCGCCCCCAACTCTGACCTAGATCTCCATCACCACCCACATTCTTCCTTACATTCTCACCAGTCTTCAGCCCCCCTCAGACTCCCCACTACCAAACGTTCACCCCCATTCGGACACATCCCATTGAGTCCACCCCAGCCCATCCCTTCGCATCTCTCCCAGGGTCCACATTGCCCTTCCCTGAAGGGGCTGAAGCGGGGAGGCGATGGTGTTAGGAGAGACAAAACCAAGTCGGGTAGAATACCAGGGGAGTCCGGCTTTTGCACAGGAAGGGGACGGGCTGTCCTGTCGGGGAAGTGGGAGGGGGCCCGCGGCGCCGGGAGGGAAGCTCCTGTCGCCCGGGACTCCGAGCCAGAGCGCAGCAGCAAGCGTGACTCCGCCACCAGGCCCCTGGCTCTCTCCCCTGGCCCAGCCCACTCCGCTGCGCCAGCGCCGCGGGCAGTGAGTTTCGGGGACAGGGGAACCCGGGGCTCCCTCGCACCAACCCCAAGTCCTGCCCCCCTGGCAATGAGGCTTTGCTAGGGCACCTCCACACTCCGGGTATGAGGGGGGAGGAGGAAAGGACTGAGGGGTCCCCTCATCGCCAGCTGGGAGCGGGCTGGGAGGCCGCCGGGAGGGCCTGAAAAAGGAGAAGGAGTTGCCGCGAGGTTTGGGGCGCGCGGTGATAGCGGCTTGGAGCGCGTGAGAAAGACCCAGGTGGGGCCCGCTGGGCCGAAGGAGGTAACCCGGAGCCCGGCCTTTGCCAGCCCCGGGGCTCGGGGCGGGAGAGATCATGGCCCGCCTCTTCAGCCCCCGGCCGCCCCCCAGCGAAGACCTCTTCTACGAGACCTACTACAGCCTGAGCCAGCAGTACCCGTTGCTGCTGCTGCTGCTGGGGATCATGCTCTGCGCGCTCGCGGCGCTGCTCGCCGTGGCCTGGGCCAGCGGCAGGGTGAGCCGGATCTCCGCTGCGGGAGGGTCGCTGCCTGGGGGGCATTTTCGGGGTTGGGGTTGGTGGGGTCTTCTTTTCGATATGTTTTCGCTGCTGGGAGCCGAGAAAGAAAGGACCGTTGAGCCTGGCTAGGAACTGCAGTGACCCTGGGCAAGTCACTCTACCCTTCTGAGTCTGCACTGGGACAAAGCTGAGCCCTGGTTGCTTCCCGTTTCTGTCCCGGTTCCGAAAAAGTTCGGGAGCATCTGTGGTCTGCAGGTTCCACAATAAATCCATTGCCGGATTTTCCAGTTTTCCAAAGGGGAAATTCTAGGAGGCCCCTGGGGAATTCATTTCCTGGCTTTCTCTCCCTCTTAGGGGATGTGGGGCAGTTGTACCCATAGACTCCCAGAAGGCACCCTCCAACCCGGCCCTCACTGAGTCCCAAAATAAACCCATTCCAATTTGTTTGGGGAGGAAGGGGGTCTTCAATCCAATTCTAGAAATAGCTTGTCCCGGGTTTTCTTTTCACTTCTTGGAGGCAAGGTGGGAAAATCACCGGGCGCGGCCAATCCTTGCTGGTCCAGGCCGAAATCCGGAAAGAGGTGGGGACAAAAGTCGGGGACGGCGGTGAGACTTCTGCGAAGAGTTGAGGCAGGTGGCGAGATCGCAGCCCTGGTGGCCAGGGAGGTGCGGGACTCGGCGAGTCCTGGCGTACTGCCTCCGCCGCCCTCCAAGCTGCCAGCCACTGGCCCAGGCGCCGGGAATCTCCTGAGCAAATTGGCCAGATTTGGAGACATTCATTCTGAAGTGCCTTCTTGTGAGCTAGGATCTATCTTTCACTTGCTTCACAACACCGTGGTTCCCTTTTTATTTTAAAGCAAGAACAACAACAAAACAAAACCCCAGGCTCTGAAAGGTCATGTATTCACAAATAGGGGATGGGAGCCAGTTCTTCTGGGTAGCTGTCCCAGGCTCAGCGAGATAATAGGTTGGACCACAAGAGGCTGGGCGCGATGGCTCACGCCTGTAATGCCAGCACTTTTGGAGGCCGAGGTTGGAGATCGCTTGAGCCCAGGAGTTCGAGACCAGCCCGGGCAATTTGGCGAGACCCTGTCTCTACTAAAAATACAAAATAATAATAATAATTGGCCGGGCGTGGTGACGGGAACCGGTAATCCCAGCTACTCGGGAGGCTGAGGCACAAGAATCGCTTGAACCCGGGAGGCAGAAGTTGCAGTGAGCCGAGATCGCGCCACGAAACTCCAGCCTGGGCGACAGAGCGAGATGTCTCAAAAAAAAAAAAAAAAAAAAAAAAAAAAAAAAAAAAAAACCAACAAAACCACACGAGGTTGCTGAGTCTAGATAAAAACAGTAGGACACCAGCAATTTCAAATGGTTCAACCGAAAATGAATGGCAAGTGGAGGTGCCTTGCCTCCTTTTCGTACTTGGGCTCGAGACACCTTTCAGAAATGGGCTGAGGGCCGAGCTGCCGGTTCTTCCTTTACCAGGTTCGTTCCTTCTCCCTGTCAAAATCTTGCCTCGCACACCCCTTGCCCACAGGAGCTGGCCTCAGATCCGAGCTTCCTGACCACTGTGCTGTGCGCGCTGGGCGGCTTCTCGCTGCTGCTGGGCCTCGCTTCCCGCGAGCAGCGGCTGCAGCGCTGGACGCGACCCCTGTCGGGCTTGGTGTGGGCCGCGCTGCTAGCGCTAGGCCACGCCTTCCTGTTCACCGGGGGCGTGGTGAGCGCCTGGGACCAGGTGAGAGGGGCGGCAGGCCGGGCAGCGGGGACAGCCCGAGCCTTGAATAGCGCCACTTGGACCTTCTTCAGCTTCCCGCGCCCCTCCCCCAGGTGTCCTATTTTCTCTTCGTCATCTTCACGGTGTATGCCATGCTGCCCTTGGGCATGCGAGACGCCACCGTCGCGGGCCTCGCCTCCTCACTCTCGCATCTGCTGGTCCTCGGGCTGTATCTTGGGCCACAGCCGGACTCACGGCCCGCGCTGCTGCCGCAGGTGAGCACGCAAGTAGCACAGGCTGCGCTCGGGACGGCTCTGCCACTGGTTTGCTCCTTTCGGGGGATGGTTGAGCTGTGACTCCAAGGCAGGGTTCAACGCTGGGCGAAGGATACACAGATCCAACCGTGCTTTCGTGGAACCGGTACACCAGTGCGGTACAGTGCCTGCTGTTACCGGAAGAGGGTTCCAGGCCTCAGGGAAGGAAGTCGTGTCGCGGTTTGCCGGGGGATCAGGCAGGTGGCGACAGATGTGGCTAATGAAACCTTCACAGAGAATGTGAAAAAAAAAAAAAAAAAAAAAAAAGTTTTGTGCGACAGGAGTGAGTAGCGACAGTGGAGTGGTATTCCAGGCAGAGGAAATGTACCTGCAAAGGTTTCCAGACCGAAGAGGTCGTGTTGGTGCAGCAGCCGAGAGTCTGGAGCAGGGAGTATCTGGGAAGGGAGAAGCCCCTCGGGATGCCACAGGGTGGCACCTCTCGTCCAACAACACTTAGGTCCCTCACTGTAGAGTCCAGTCTTCCCCAGCCAGTGTTTGAGACCAACTGAAGCTACATAGGACAACCACCCGGGGCCCGTGTCCTCTGAGGCTGGCCCTCACCCACAGTTGGCGGCAAACGCGGTGCTGTTTCTGTGCGGGAACGTGCTGGGAGTGTACCATAAGGCGCTGATGGAGCGCGCCCTGCGGGCCACGTTCCGGGAGGCACTCAGCTCCCTGCACTCGCGGCGGAGGCTGGACACCGAGAAGAAGCACCAGGTCAGCCGGGCCTAGGAAGGCAGACCAGTGTTCCAAGAGAGGAGTTGCTTAGATTACATAACGAGGCTTCTTCACAAGTTGAGTGACTCTGGGCAGTTTTCTTGACCTGTTTTCTCTTTTGTATAAAACATGGGTATTGCCCACCTTAGAAGGTTGTGAGGCTCAAACAACAGCTTATAAAAAGCACTTTAAAGCATTATATTAAGTGGAGAACAGTCCCTGAAGGTGATCATTGTAGGATGGAGTGTTGGGGCCCTGCTGTGTGCAGCAGGAGGACTTGGGAGAGCATCCTGGAGAGCACCTGGGGTGGGCAGGGCAGTGTGGGCTCCTGAGTGATTTTGGGGGCAGGGGCTCATGGCTTTAAGGTGCAGAAGAGTTGGTGCTCATAGTGACCTCTTCCAGGAACACCTTCTTTTGTCCATCCTTCCTGCCTACCTGGCACGAGAGATGAAGGCAGAGATCATGGCACGGCTGCAGGCAGGTCAGGGGTCACGGCCAGAGAGCACCAACAATTTCCACAGCCTCTATGTCAAGAGGCACCAGGGAGTCAGGTATGAGTAAGGATGACTGGAGGGGAGGGGCCTGTGGACTGAGATCCTGGCCCCACTGACACAGTCTGCCCTATGTAGCGTGCTGTATGCTGACATCGTGGGCTTCACACGGCTGGCCAGCGAGTGTTCCCCTAAGGAGCTGGTGCTCATGCTCAATGAGCTCTTTGGCAAATTCGACCAGATTGCCAAGGTCAGAGGGGGCTTCCTTCCCCGCCCAGGGACCCTCAAACATCCCATCCTCGGTAGCCCATTCCAAGGAAAATTCCCACCTCATAAGACCCCATGCCCACTTCAACCCATGCAGATCCCCAAATATTCCAATGGAAAGGAGGAAACCCTCTCAAACATTCCCAACATGAAGCAGCTCACCACACAGCTCAAACCCACAGAGATCTCTCAATATCTTTGCAGATGTCCCAACTACAATGCCTCAAACATGCTCAGAGCCCCAACACATGTGTTTCTGGACACTACCACCAAATCTGTAGAGATATTCTGATATTCTAACCTAAGGAGGCCCTTTCAAGAGAAATTTCTGCCCTATGCAACCTCAGCCCAGCAACCTACTTAGATCCCAGGGATGCCTCCAAGCAACCAATTCTTGGATTCCCCCCAACCTCTCAATCCCGAGACCAGTACCATATACTTAACTCTGGGTGCCCCCTTCACATGCCAAAAGTGGAAAGAGCCACAGACATCCTGCTCTTGAGGAAACCCTTCTGAGAAAGAGATCTGCATGGAAGACAGTCAGCCCCATGTCAAGCTAAAGGAGTTCCTAGATCTGACCTAGACACTACCCTACCTTGGAAGTTCTTCAGGAATACCACACTCCCCACTTTTCCCAACTCCCTCCTACCCTTCTGGCCTCTAACCCAGGTTCCTCTACACACCCACATACACGCTCCCAGGAGCATGAATGCATGCGGATCAAGATCCTGGGGGACTGTTACTACTGTGTCTCCGGGCTGCCACTCTCACTGCCAGACCATGCCATCAACTGCGTGCGCATGGGGTTGGACATGTGCCGGGCCATCAGGTCAGCTCAGGCAGTGGGCAGGAGGGATGCTGAGGGTGGATGTGGGAGGCAACAGGCAGCTGGCAGAAGTCCTCTTTGTGAGAAGCACGGGTGCCGCCCAGGCAGGCCTGAGGGTAGGACTCAGATTGTCCCACACACACTCTGTCTGCTCAGGAAACTTCGGGCAGCTACCGGCGTGGACATCAACATGCGTGTGGGTGTGCACTCAGGCAGCGTACTCTGCGGAGTCATCGGGCTGCAGAAGTGGCAGTATGATGTTTGGTCCCATGATGTCACACTGGCTAACCACATGGAGGCAGGCGGTGTACCAGGGTGAGACCTGGGGCCCTAGGCAACCAACCAGGCCTACCACAGGCTGCCACTCTTTTCATTAGTTCCTTAAGATGAGCAAAGATGAGTACCTTAAGATGAGTCTGATGTGGGACTCGGGGAGACCCTAGGGTGCAGGGAGGGGAGCTGGGAGGCACGCCCTGTAACATAGGGTCCTTCTTGAAGTCAGACCTCCAGGAATGACCTTTGAAAGACATGAAATGTTTGTCAGTTCTAGGAGCCAGGAAGCAGGATGGGGAATAGGAGGTTTAAAGGCCGTTCCTGCTAACCCCTTCTTCCCCCCACCTTCCAGGCGAGTGCACATCACAGGGGCTACCCTGGCCCTGTTGGCAGGGGCTTATGCTGTGGAGGACGCAGGCATGGAACATCGGGACCCCTACCTTCGGGAGCTAGGGGAGCCTACCTACCTGGTCATTGATCCGCGGGTAAAAGCCCAGCCAGGACCCCGTAGGCTGACCCACACAAACCATCTCACAGCCAACAGACCTGATCTCTTCTGTGCCAGAGATTGAGTTCCTGGGTCCTAGTGGGGGGTGGAGGGAGAATGAGGAACTGTCTGTGGTCTTTACTCTCAGCTCTCCTGTGCCCCAGGCAGAGGAGGAGGATGAGAAGGGCACTGCACGGGGCTTGCTGTCTTCGCTCGAGGGCCCCAAGATGCGTCCATCACTGCTGATGACCCGCTACCTGGAGTCCTGGGGCGCAGCCAAGCCTTTTGCCCACCTGAGCCACGTCGACAGCCCGGTGTCCACCTCCACCCCTCTCCCGGTATGTGCACCTTCATCCTGAGCCCCAGAGCTTAGGTAAACTCACCCCCAGTATTCTCGGGCCCCAGCCCAGCCTTCCCTGCCCCCACCACAAGTGAGTCACTTAATGATTTGTGACGTCCCAAAATCCTGAACTGTCTGGTCACCCCAGTCACTGGTTCAGGCCCTTCCTTGACCCTCCTTCCAGAGGAAGAGCCCTCCAGCTACCCTCAGAGATAATACAAGATCCCCACAGACCCCATGTTCATAACTCCCCTGCCTCCACTCAGGAGATAGCCTTCCCCTGACATCACAAAGGCAGTTGAACTCCCACTTCCTCCTGACTCTGATTCTAGGGCTGTGCACCTATAGCACCAGGAAATGTCTCTGTTTAAGTCAATTCCTGTAACTGCGTGCTCTCTCCTTCAATCCCCCCAACATTGGAGAGTGGGGGAAGGACACTGGTAGCAGTGATTGCAGGAAGTACTTATTTCCAAGTGTTAGCATGAGGTAGGGGAGAGGTCAGAGGGTTAAGCCAGCAGGAGGAAGATGAAGGAAGAAGCCGAGTCTCAGCTCACTGTTGCAGGATGAGGCCTCCAGCGTGGGTGAAGTGGTGTGTGGGGATTGCTATAAGCCCAGGGACTGTAAGATGACCTTAGGTGCAATTACATGGTAGGAATGCCTGCCAGGGCCCATGCTAGACCTCCTGCCACTTTCCACCAGTGTGCAGGCTAGGGAGTATCAGGGTGGAAAAGCCAGACCCCTTGTTCAAAGATGTCTCTGGAGGCAGGACCTCACTAGCACAGAAATCCACTTAGCCCCTGAAGTTCCGGGGGCTGGGTCAAATATTAGAAATCTTGCCAGGCACGGTGGCTCATGCCTGTAATCCCAGCACTTTGGGAGGCTGAGGCAGACAGATAGTTTGAGGTCAGTAGTTTGAGATCAGCCTGGCCAACATGGTAAAATCCCGTCTCTATTAAAAATACGAAAATTAGCCAGGCGTGGTGGTACATGCCTGTAATTGCAACTACTTGGGAGGCTGAGGCAGAAGAATCACTTGAACCTGGAAGGTGGAGGTTGCAATGAGCTGAGATCATGCCACAGCACTCTACCCTGGGCAACAGAGCAAAACTCCATCTCAAAAAAAAAAAAAAAAAAGATGTCCTGAAAATCACCATTGGCTTACCCCTAAACAATGTGAAACTTTGAGTGGTGGGGCAGGGGCAGTGTGTGTGTGTTTGTTCATCCATTCATTCCTTCTACGTTTTCTGAACACCTACTGTGTGGCAGGCATTAGGCCAGTTCTTGAAAAGATCGAAATCAGTAAGATGTTTCCCTGCCTTCAAATAGTTTACAGGTGTTGGGAGGGGGCAGATAGGTAGTTTGAAAAAAGTTAGTCCCATATACAGGTGCATGGATGGACTCACACCTAAAACATATCATTCCCTCTCAATATCTTTCCTTCTCCCTTTCTCTCTCCCATACACCAGGCTTTAGTTTGAGGGATGATGTGACATGAGACTCTGCTTCCTCTGCATAGACCACAGGGAGCAGGGAGAAATGCTCACCATATTTCCTGTACTAGGCAGTGGCCCACAAAGCTTCATTCCCTCTCAGCAGCTGCTTTCTTTGCCTCCTCATTTTCATATCACTCCTTGTACTGTGCATTCCTTTTGATGAGGAAGAGAATGACTGTAATAGGGTTTACTTCCTTTCTTCTTCTTCTTTCTTCTCCTTACTTTGTTATCCGCCACTACACCTCTCAGCTCAGCCTGGCTGACCTCAGGAAAGGTCAGAAAGGAGTCAGAATGTTTATCATTGCTACTTCAATTTATACCAACAGAGTTTTGTTTTTTTTTTTTTTTTTTTTTTTTTTGGCATCCAAGGGTGATGGGAAAGTCCCTGCCTTTGGAATTTGTGCACTCTTAAGGGAAAGTGAGACATAGAATCTACAGCCACTCAAGCCTATAGAAGACAGAGTTGCCCAGGAAGTGATAGAAACTATGAGGAAATCAAGAGTATAAAGATCCTGGGGGTCGGCCAGGCATGGTGGCTCTTGCCTGTAATCCCAGCACTTTGGGAGTTTGAGGCAGGCAGATCACCTGAGGTCAGGAGTTTGAGACCAGCCTGACCAACGTGGTGAAACCCTGTCTCTACTAAAAATACAAAAATTAGCTGGGCGTGGTGGCACACACCTGTAATCCCAGCTACTTAGAAGGCTGTGGCAGGAGAATCACTTGAACCCGGGAGGCAGAGTCTGCAGTGAGCTGAGATCGCGTCACTGCACTCCAGCCTGGGTGACAGAGCAAGACACAACCTCACCCCCCCCCCCAAAAAAAAAAAAAAAAGATCCTGGGAGTCTAGTGAGCCAGGGGGAAACTTTAAGGAAATTCAAACCTCCCCTTCAAGGGCAGGTAGGATTTGGGAGAGAGAGAGGTCATTAGAGGGAGCAGAAAGAGCCCAGTCAAATGCCCAAGGTCAAGGATATGTATAGAGCATGTAGTGTGGCATGTATAGAGCATGTAGTGTGGCTCGTGGTGTACCTCACTGCGGGAAAATCACCCACCATGCCCACCTCCCCCATGTGCTTTCCCAACAGGAGAAGGCCCTGGCTTCCTTTAGCCCCCAGTGGAGCCTGGATCGGTGAGGAGTCCTGAGAGTCTTTACCAGTGGGGCTGTCTGGGTGACCCTTCCATCCACCCTGGGGGGCTGCTCCTGCTTTGCCCAGATGCTCTGAGGGTCTCTGTGGTGATGGGCTTGGCTCTCACTGTGCAGGAGCCGTACTCCCCGGGGACTAGATGATGAACTGGACACCGGGGATGCCAAGTTCTTCCAGGTCATTGAGCAGCTCAACTCGCAGAAGTACGGAGAACAAAGAGGGCTGGGAGGGAGGTGGAGGAGGGATGGTACTCCGTGAGGGCCTGAGGGAAGACTCCCCTGACCACCCTGTCTTGTTCTCACTCTGCCCTCTTCCTGCCCTACCCTGCCCTCTGCTCTCTGGTGCTCTCACCCACCCTCCCACCTCCCACCAGACAGTGGAAGCAGTCAAAGGACTTCAACCCACTGACACTGTACTTCAGAGAGAAGGAGATGGAGAAAGAGGTGGGCTGCAGAGTGGGCAGCACCAAAGGACTTCCCAACTTTAGTTCCTTAGCCCTGGGGAGGGGTCAGTGCTTGGGTGTCCTCCCCAGGTCTGCTTAGTTTGTGATCCTAGGAGTGAGGAGCTTGTGCCTCTCTCTAAAGGAAAGTCACTCTGTAGACTGAGTTACTGGGTGGTAGTGGGAGAACAGAGGGTAGCTCCTTAGAGAACTGGTAGGGTCTACGTGGAACTGAACTGGAGGCTGGGCAGTGAGGCTGAGGAGCCCACCTCTTGCCTGGGAGTGATGTCTTCAAGGTGATGGGCAGCACTGGGCCCTGTCTCCACCTCCGGCCCCCTCACTTTCAGTACCGACTCTCTGCACTCCCCGCCTTCAAATACTATGAAGCCTGCACCTTCCTGGTTTTTCTCTCCAACTTCATCATCCAGATGCTAGTGACCAACAGGTGAGAGCACCCCGGGCAAGGGAGGCCCCGGCTGTCATAAGCTAATTCCCTTGCCCTCATGACCCCTGCCCTCATTTTCTTCCTTCACCCTTTCCCCTTAGCTTCAGGCTCTTACCAGCAGAGGAAATGTGTGTTCTGGGGAAAATGATAATCACAGCCCTTATCTTAACCTTGTACATCCTGTGGACTTTCTGCACAGCACAAGCATTTTCTCATGAACGTCTCTTTTGGTGCCAATAACATCCCCATGAAGGCGGGTTTGTTTCATTAAGAAACCCAAATCTGGCAGCAAATGCGTGAGCTTAGAAAGTAGTCCCTCATTCCTAGTTCACTGCTAGGAGGGACAAGGACTTGTTCTTAACTTGGCCAGGTGGCCAGGTGCGGTGGCCCATGCCTGTAATCCCAGTATTTTGGGAGGCTGAAGTGGGTGGATCACCAGAGGTCAGGAGTTTGATACCAGCCTGGCCAACATGGTGAATCCCTGTCTCTATTAAAAACACGAAAATTTACCAGAGGTGATGGCGGGTGCCTGTAATCTCAGCTACTCGGGTAGTTGAGGCAGGAGAATCGCTGGACTTGGGAAGCAGAGTTTGCAGTGAGCCGAGATCATGCCACTGCACTTCAGCTTGGGCAACAGAGCAAGACTCTATCTCAAAACAAAACAAAAGAAAACGCAGCAAGGTTAAAGAGCTTTGGCCTAGAGGCCCAGAGATCGGTCTGCGGTAGCCTCAGCCATTCTTGTGAGCCCCCACTGCCCACCACATGGATCCCTGTTCCACCCAACACTGTTCTAGACCCTTAAGCTAGCCAACCCAGATCATCAGAATGCAATGTCTTCTATCAGCCGGGACCCCACCGCCAGCCAACCCAGACCCCCAGAACCACTTCCCCCATCTCCCACCTGGCTCACACAGCACCTGCATAGCACACAGGGAGCCTGTTCCGGCACTTCAAGTCCTCGCTTTTGTCTCCCTTTAGGCCCCCAGCTCTGGCCATCACCTATAGCATCACCTTCCTCCTCTTCCTCCTCCTCCTTTTTGTCTGCTTCTCAGAGGACCTGATGGTGAGGTGGGCTGAGGGGTGGAAGTGGCATGGCAGAGCCCTGGTCACACCTGTCCTGAAGATGATGCCCCAGCCCCATGGCTAAGATGCTCATGCTCCCTCCACAGAGGTGTGTCCTGAAAGGTCCCAAGATGCTGCACTGGCTGCCTGCACTGTCTGGCCTTGTGGCCACAAGACCGGGACTGAGAATAGCCTTGGGCACCGCCACCATCCTCCTTGTCTTTGGCACGGCCATTAGCAGCCTGGTGAGGACAGAGGGGGCCCTATCCACCATCATCAGGGCATACTGGACCTGCCAGGGACTGAAAGGGAACCCTTGGATTTGGGCAGGCAGCTGGACTAAGCCCAGGGGATGCTGGCAATGTTGTATAAATAGAAAGAAAAAAAATTACAGTCACCAGCAGTCTACCATCTGGGCACAACAGTTGTTAATAGCACTGGTGAATGTCCTTATCTTTTTCTGTGTAGGCAGTTATTTCTTACTTAGCTCACTTGGCTGCTTTTTCAGGATTTAGACTCATTTCTAGAATTCTATTCCTGGAGAGCACCTGGGAATCACCCACTAGCCAAGTTACAGAAGAGGAAGCTGAGGCCCAGAGAGGCTAAGTGGCTGGCAAGAGCCCACACAGCGGCTCCATGTCAGACGAATACTCTTGACGCCCCTCCCATAACTCCTCCTCACAGTGAGGACCCTAGTGCTGAGGTTCCCTTCCCAATCAGAAATAGCAGGATCCACCCCTTTGGGTGAGTCTGACCGTGACTCATCCCTGGGTCTGCTGAACCCCAGCCCAAGCCTCTTCAGCTCCTCGTCTCCTCTGCAGTTCTTCTTCCCAGCATCATCAGACTGCCCTTTCCAAGCTCTCAATGTGTCCTTCACGACTTCCAACCTCTCCTGGGAGCTCCCTGGGTCTCTGCCTCTCATCAGTGTCCCAGTGAGTGTTCCCGCATGCCCTTAATCTCCTTCTGCAGACCCTTCCTCAGCCCAAGCCCACAGCCCCCTGAGTGGAGAAACACTCCATTCTGTGAATTAGAACAGACATAAGTCACATCCAGTGTGTATCTGTGTGTATGACACTCCCTGTCTCACGAATAGGACCTGGGCCTGGGAGGGATAGGAAGGGAGCCCTCAGGTGTTCCCCTCACTGCCTGTGGGACATGCCCACTCCTGATCCCTGCCTGGCCCCACAGTACTCCATGCACTGCTGCGTGCTGGGCTTCCTCTCCTGCTCCCTCTTTCTGCACATGAGCTTCGAGCTGAAGCTGCTGCTGCTCCTGCTGTGGCTGGTGGCCTCCTGCTCCCTCTTCCTGCACTCCCATGCCTGGCTGTCCGACTGCCTCATCACCTGCCTCTATCTGGGCCCCTTGGACTCCAGGTGTGCACAGCTGCTGGACAGAGGTGCCGGGCCCCCTGGGATGGGGGTGAGACAGGACACAGCAGAGCTGTCCTGGCCTCACTGAACTGAATCACCCACAGGGCAAAGCGGGAGGGAAGTGGAGGCCTACATGGGCACTGGGAGCAGGGAGGTGGCCAGGAAGGGGCAGAGCGAGGGGCAACCCTGATCCATGGCCCCCTCAGGCCAGGAGTGCTGAAGGAGCCCAAACTGATGGGTGCTATCTCCTTCTTCATCTTCTTCTTCACCCTCCTTGTCCTGGCTCGCCAGGTAAGTCACCCAGCTCAGCCCTCCAGAGCACACCTATGAGTGGTCCTATATTTGTGACTTGGTCTTTCTAATTTTCAGGGTTGAATGCCCTTTGGAAGCTTCTAAGCAAGACTTCCTGCTCCCTTTCTTTCTCCTTCTCTCCCCATCCCTCCTTTTTCCCACGCCCCAATCTGGGAAAGCCCATGCATAAGAAAAAGTCCATTGCCACTTCTGTATCACTAGTCTGAATCTAGTTTCAAGGATAGTCTCTCTCCAAGGATACTTGCACCTTAAGCCCTAAACTGGGGATGGGGTGGGGTTGGTTTCAGGCATCTAGGAGTTGGGGCTTAACACGCAGGAGCTGGGCCTCCCCTGCTCTGTGTCTCCCCATGGCCCCTGGCGACCCTCCCCAGAATGAGTACTACTGCCGCCTGGACTTCCTGTGGAAGAAGAAGCTGAGGCAGGAGCGGGAGGAGACAGAGACAATGGAGAACCTGACTCGGCTGCTCTTGGAGAATGTGCTCCCTGCACACGTGGCCCCCCAGTTCATTGGCCAGAACCGGCGCAACGAGGTGACTCCTGACCCCCTAACTCCTGAGCCGTGGATGCCATAGGGCCTCATTTCGGATGAAAGTCTTGACCTATGACCCGTCCCCTCTAGACCCCCCACACCTAAGCCCTTGTGCTTGTCAAGCGACTTTGTTTTCACAAGATCTTAGGTTCTGTCTTTGGTGAGCGCAAAATTTCTGCATTTCAGATTCTTAGAAAGCGTGTCTTCTCTAACTCATGACCACTCCATTCATTCCGGAAGCTTAGTCAGGTATTGATGGGAGCTGTCTGGAGCAGGGATCTCCAGCCCCCAGGCTGAAGACTGGTACTGGTCCATTGCCTATTGGGAACTGGGCTACACAGCAGGAGGTGAGCAGTGAGCCAGCACTACTGCCTGAGCTCCACCTCCTGTCAGATCAGCAGTGGCATTAGATTCTCATAGGAACTCAAACCCCATTGTGAATTGCACATGCAAAGGATCTAGGCTGTGCACTCCTTATGGGAGTCTATTAGGTTGGTGCAAAATTAATCGCAGTTTTTGCCGTTAAAAATAATATAATTAAAAATAATTACTTTTTTTTGAGACAGAGTTTCACTCCTGTCTCACAGGCTGGAGTGCATGAAATGGCACAATCTCGGCTCATTGAAACCTCTGCCTCCTGGGTTCAAGCGATTCTCTGTCCTCAGCCTCCTGAGTAGCTGGGATTACAGACACCCGACACCACGCCTGGCTAATTTTCACATATTTTTTAGTAGAGACAAGATTTCACCATGTTGGCCAGGCTGGTCTCCAACTCCCGACCTCAGGTGATCCACCTACCTCAGCCTCCCAAGATGCTGAGACTGCAGGAGTAAGCCACCGCCCCTGGCTTTAATTACTTTTAATGGCAAAAAAAAAAAAAAAAAAAAAAATGCAATTAATTTTGCACCAACCTATAACTAATGCCTGATGAAGTAGAACAGTTTCATCCCAAAACCATCCCCCCACCACTGCCCAGGTGTGTGGAATACTTGTCTTCCACAAAACCCATTCAAAATCTAAGACTAAAAAGGACTTCATAGCACTCATTTTGTGAATTACCGTCAGATCTGATTCCATCTGGGTCAAAAAGTTTGGAGACCACTGGTCTAGAGAGAGGGGTGGAGGATACAGTCCACCCCTCTCTCTAGACCTGCACTAGCCAATATGGTAGCCATTACCTCTATGAAAATTTAATGTTAATTAATTAAAATAAAACATTCAGTTCTCAGTTTCACCAGCCACATTTTCAGAGCTCAACAGCCACTGCAGCTAGTGGCCCCTGTGTTGGACACTGCAGACAGAGAATGTTTCCATTGCAAAAATTTCTATTGGATGCTGCTGCTTTCAATCCTCAAAACTCTTGCTATAGCCAAACCATCAGGAAGTCACCCACATATTTGTGCCATCTTACTTGTACCACCACCTGCTGGCCCTCTGCTGTGGAAACGCTCTTGGCTCATATTGAGGGGTGTTAAAAGACACAGCTCCGGAGCTCTTTCACAGCCTTATGCCCCCGCCACCTGCTCCCTGCTTTCAAGATCAGGAGTAGTTCTGCTTCTCGTTTCTTCTCTTACAGACACAGGAAATCTTGTAATTGAACTTTTTCTCTCTTCACTTTGGCTGCTAGAAAGCTGAGAGCCAAAATCTAGGACTAAAAAGGACTTTATGGCACTCATTTTGTGAACCACCCTCAGATCCGATTCCATCTTTATAATCTTACCCTTCTTTTCCCTTTGTCCCATAGTCCCTATTGTTGTTATTTTATCTTTCATTCTGTACCTATCTTAAGTGACTTAAACACTTAAACACTTTTTACCTTTGGTTTTGTAGCCGGCTTAATTAAACACCTTTCAGCAATAAGATAGGATATAAAAATAATTCACATTGACAGGATCCCAGTTCTAGGAGTGACTCCCTCCATGTTGCTGTGAGGTGATCCTGACCCCAAACTTCTGTCTCTTCTGGAATCACAATGAGATCCAAGCTTTGATTCCTAAGTAACATCCCTGGGGTAGCCTGGCCCTACTCCTCTCCCCCCTTCCCAATTCTTCTTCAACAGGGAGATCAGGAGTGTGGACTCAGGGAGGAGGGTCCCATGCAGACCCAGAAGGGGGAGGAACATGACACGAACCCCTTACTCCAGTCTCCTGCTCTCCCAGGATCTCTACCACCAGTCCTACGAATGTGTTTGTGTCCTCTTCGCCTCAGTCCCGGACTTCAAGGAGTTCTACTCTGAATCTGACATCAATCATGAGGGCCTAGAGTGTCTGAGGCTGCTCAATGAGATAATTGCTGATTTTGATGAGGTGACAACTCCAAGAGTCTCCCATACCCTGTGCCCCGGATTCTAGAATTTCCCACTAGTCCCTCCTTCCACTTTGCTTTTCTGGCCATGAGGTCAATCCTCCCCTCCACAGCACCCGCTCGCCTCCTCTGATCCCCCAGCTCTACCCACTCCAGCAACATTGCCCACCACCAACCCTCTCCTTCCTGACACCATCCCCACTCCCACAGCCTGATCCTTTAACTCCAAAGGCTTGGGGCTGGGCTTCTGGGAGAGGGGACGGAAAGAGCAAGAGAAACTGGGGACAGGCCTCCTCTCTATACAGCTGCTCTCCAAACCCAAGTTCAGTGGGGTGGAGAAGATCAAAACCATCGGCAGCACCTACATGGCAGCCACAGGCTTAAATGCCACCTCTGGACAGGATGCACAACAGGTATGGCGACCCTTCCTTACCTACCACCCTCCTCTGGTCTCTCATTGTGGAACTTATGAGAGGGCCCAACAGTGGAACTTATTCTTGTGCCCTCACTGGCCCACCCTGGTGGGGGAGCCCATTGCCAGGATGCTGAGCGGAGCTGCAGCCACCTTGGCACTATGGTAGAGTTTGCCGTGGCCCTGGGGTCTAAGCTGGATGTCATCAACAAGCACTCATTCAACAACTTCCGCCTGCGTGTGGGTAAGAGACCTCCCCTGTTGCAGCAGTCTGGTACCTCCTCACCTTCCTGAGCTTGCCCCACTCCAAGTCCTTTGTTAGCTGCTCCCAGTTCATCTCTGAAGCCCCTTTCCTGACTCACTCCCTGGGATGGGGTGTGCAGCTACTGGCCCAGGAGGTACAATGCTCTCCCACCCTTTTTCTTAAGCTACATTCCTCCAGCCTTAGAGACACCTCCTCTTCTCTAAGGCCATCCCCCATGTCCTTCTCCTTTCCTTCCAGTTTCTTGTGCTTCCTTTTTCCCTCTTCCTTCTCCAAGTCTGTCATTACCACATCCCTTATCAGGGTTGAACCATGGGCCAGTAGTAGCCGGAGTGATTGGGGCCCAGAAGCCACAATATGACATTTGGGGCAACACAGTGAATGTGGCCAGCCGCATGGAGAGCACAGGAGTCCTTGGCAAAATCCAAGTAAGAAAACCACATTGGAGGCATGGGGGAGGGGGACTAAGAATAGGGCCACCTCCATAGTCCCTTACCCCCTCCAATTGTAGGTGACTGAGGAGACAGCCTGGGCCCTACAGTCCCTGGGCTACACCTGCTACAGCCGGGGTGTCATCAAGGTGAAAGGCAAAGGGCAGCTCTGCACCTATTTTCTGAATACAGACTTGACACGAACTGGACCTCCTTCAGCCACCCTAGGCTGAGACCCCATTCCCCCTCTAAGAACCTCAATAAAGAGAAGACTCTGGGATGTCTGGAGCCCATTGATGTCAGAAGCTGTTTATATAGCTGGGGATCACCTTCTCTTTGCCCTTCAGTGGGAAGTATTTTTCCCAGGTCAAATTGTGTGTGTGTGTGTGTGCGCGCGCGCGCGCACGTGCACATGCATGCATGTGAGACTGAACATGTTGGAAGGGAGTGATTTTTTTCACAAAGACAACTCCCTCAGCCTCTCTGTCAACTTCTTCCAGTATTTTGTATACCTTGAAAGCATAATTTGGCCACATGACTCAAAACAAAGATTTACCCTTTCCTGCCCCCTACTCACAAATATTGGAGGAATCTCCAGGGAAATGTCATTTGAACTTTATTCGTTCAACAAACATTAAATAAGTACCAATTATGTGCTCACTATACAGAATGGGTGAGAGGCCTGGGAAATAGTCTGTTAGGTCCCTCCCAGTTTCAGCTGCTGTTCTCAGATTGGTACACCATGCTTTCCAGTAAGGACCTGTGGACAGTGTAGAGGTCCATCCGATATCCCTTTGCTTCCTTCTGCATCCTTCTGCACAGATGCTGGTATATGGGTCTTGAGGTATTGATGGCTCATTCTCACTGGCTCATATTTTGGGGTCCATGGGAGATACCTTAACATACTAGGTTTGTTGTGGATGTTGCATGTGGATATTTGGCTTCACTCTTCTACTTGCTGTTTTGTTTGTTTGCTTTTTAATGAGAAAGAGCCAAAAAGTACACTGCTGCCACTATTGTTGCCATCTTCCTAAAACCTTGTCAGAACAGAGTTGGACCAAGTTTCTCTACAACAACAGTCATCTCTAGGAAATAATGACTTATCCCTCTCACTTTTGGGAATCTTTGTTCCCTGGGGCCCTCAGCCCCACCCTGTGCCAGAGTGTGTTGTGGAGGTTAGCAGATGCTGATGTGTAGAATTCTAAGGGATAAGATCTAATGACTTGGTACTCAAGTCTGGTTTCCTTGTGAAATGGAGCAAAGGAAGGCAGTCCCCTAAAACATCTCCTATGGAGAGGACAAAGATTATTGGTAGGAAGTTGGAGTCATGCTAACAAGGATACCTGTCACAGGCTTCAGGGAAGATGTTTCACAGCAGTTCTATCTTCTCAAAAGGTCCCTAAGTCACAGGGCCTGGAGTGATAAGCCTACATGGGTGGTCTTCCTAGACAAGCTGCTTTCGGAGTCTGTGGACTGTATTTTGCTAAGCATGGTCTGCAGACTATGGACTTGGAATCACCTGGGTTGGGGCAGTCTATGTCTGTCTTTGTGTCCCTTCCAAAATTGTAAATCACAGGGAACCAAAGGACATGACTCTCAACTACTGAGAGGGGCCCCATCAGGGTGCCCACGAGCAACCCGATACCCACAGCACATGTACCCCACTCACAAGGCTGACCCAATTTCAGACTTCAATTTTAATGGTTAAAGCTGCTTGTGGGAGCCAGGCTGGAGCACTCTCTCACTCTGCTCTCACTTGCTCCAGCCCTCCCTCTTCTTCCACTCCACCCCCACCTCCCACGCCCCAATGCCCTCCACACCCCCGCTGCTCCTGGCTCAGAACTGGCTCAGAGCTGGCATTCTGCCAGGAGAAAAGTGAGCGTCCTTCCACGAGACCTAGGTCAGTTCGCTTGACTCTAGAGGACTGGAGGTGGCAGTAAGACTCTCAGCAGGGCTGGGTTCCAGAGCCGCGGGGACACTCTTCACACTCTGGCCCAGGCTGCCCCCACGGCGGGTGCTGGACACCTGGGAGCCCGTGCCCTCCAGCATCTTGGCCACGAAGCCTATGCCCGCCGAGCGCAGCAGACTGCCCCCGGCACACGCATAGAGCAAGGGGTTCACGCTGCTGCTCAGGAAGGCGAGTGCGATGAGCATCTTGCGGGCCAGCTGCAGCTTCATCCCCAGGGTCCCGGACCCTGCGGCCTTGCCGGCCAGCGCACGGCCAGCCTCAGCCAGGTTCACCACGTGGTAGGGCAGCCAGAAGGCGGCGAAGGCCAGGATGATGAGCACCACCAGGCGGCCGGTGCGGCGGCTGCGGCGGAAGCGCCGGGCCTGCAGCCGACGCCCAATGTCGGAGTAGCTGGCTACCACAGCCAGGAAGGGCAGCAGAAAGCCCGTGAGGGCCTCGAAGATTAGATGGAATGCCCGGTGCCCTTCGGTGGGGTACTTCGAGAAGCATAACAGGCTCATGTTGTTCGATTTTAAGACCACTGTGCGGTACGCCAGGACGGGTGTGGCCAGCAGAAAGGACACCACCCAGATGCCTGCCAGCACCAGCCGAGCCAAAGCCTTGGTGCGTAACTTCTGGGACACAAAGGGGCGGGCTACCGCCAGCGAGCGGTCTAGACTCATGGCTGTGATTAGCAGGACGCTGGCGTACATGCTGACGCCGCAGACATAGTGGCACAGGCGGCAACCAGCCAGTCCAAAACTCCAGGTGCCTTGGGTCAGGAAGTGAAGGAAAAAGGGAGCAGTGAGCAATACGGCCAGGTCGGCCAGGGCCAGGTTCAGCACCATCAGGGCAGTGACAGAGCGCTTCTGCATCCGTTTTAGGATGCTCCACACTACAAAGCTGTTGCCGGGAAGCCCCACAGCCAGCGCCACTGACAGTAGGATGATAGCCAGCAGAGAGATGAACTTGACACCTAGCAAGGAGGGTGCTGCAGAAGATGTAGTGTTCATGGCCGTCGGGAGGACCTGGAGAGTGAGTGCGGACACACGCATGAGAGTAGAGGACCAAGGGTTTCCTGACGCCATGGACACACCTAGCCTGAAAACTCCAGTCTGTTTCCAGGGTCAGCAGCATCAGAGGTCTCTCCGAAATATACTGCTCCCATCGCTGCCAACTGATGTCTTAAAGGGATCTGGTTGAGTACAAAGACTAGTTTCCTAACTGGGTTGTGGGGCCTCTTCCTGCCCACAGACCCAATTGCAAAATATACAGTGACCACAGCAGCAGCAGCAGCAGCATTTCCAGACCTTTTCAGCCTCACCCCCTTAGGAGACCTTAAAGCCCAGAACCAAACTGAGAGACTTTCTGCCAATGCCGCACCCCTTGAAAGGCCAACTTTTTTGCCCCCACCAGGCCCTGAGTCCCTCAATCCCATTAACTTTCCCAATCACCTGCCTACTGTCCCCAGAGATGCCCAAGGTCAACCAGAAATAACAGGGATGGAGAGGAGTTAGTGGACAAGTGACGAGGACAAAGCCTCCCAACTTTGTACACTGGTCAGACTTTCTTTGGAGATTCCTTTGCACCTTCTTTCATGGCTACAAACCGTCCCACCACCGCCACAACCACTGCCCTTCCCAGGATACTTACTTACACGCTTTGGCAGGTACTGGTTGGAAGCTGGTGCCAATCCCAGGGTCAGGGTGGTGTACCCTATCCCTGGATCTGTTCCAGTGCCAAGGGCCTGGCCCCAGGTCTATGTGCTGTTAGCTAAGTCAGCCAGAGAGGAAGTACTACGTAGCAGGGGAGGGGGAAGATGCATCTTCCTGAGGGTGGGGCTGAAACCCTCACCTACTCCCTTCACTATGAGGGGGGATAGTCTGTGTTCCAGGGCAACCCAGAAGGCAGGAGTACTCCTCAAAGGTGGGGCCAGATGAGAAGAGACCAGGAAGGGGTAGTGAAAGACGAAAGAGGGGTGCGGGGAGTGAGTAGGCTGGGTGTGGCCTCAAGATGCAGGTCCAGACTGGAGAACTGAACAAAGTTGTGAATTGTATCATATAGGAGGATGTAAGGAAGCCAGAGAAGGAAAATCAGCCTCAGATTGAGAGGCTAGAATGCTGATATCTTTGTTTTTTGCATTAATAATGTAGGGGGTTTTTTTGTTTGTTTTTTGTTTGTTTGTTTGTTTGTTTGTTTGTTTGTTTGTTTCAGATTAATAGGAAGTGTAGATTGGAGCTGTGACTAGGTCCTGGGTCTGGGTTTGGGTTAGATAACATCGTGATTTAAAGAAGGCACATCAATAAATGCTGAAGGGGGAAGAACTCTGTCCTTGGCTTCAGTTCAAGCTATGATCTAGGTTGTGGGAAGAGGGCCATCTCCCAGCACCCCCTTCTCTCCTCTTACTTAAAGGGATGGTTCCATTTAGGTCAACCAATTCTCCATTCTCTTTGGTAGAAGCCAAAATACAAATGGTCTTTTTGGTATCACACAGAACACCAATCACTTCCCCTTTCCCCAGGCACTTGCCTTGTGCTTGCCCATGTGGTTACCCTGCTGAGTCTGGATTTAAGATCTGGGCAAGGAGATTGGTACCACCTCTTTCCTATCTTTCCACAGCCCACTATCCAGTTCCACTTTAGACACACAGAGGAAGCTGAGTCTGAGCTAGGCAGCCTGAGCATGAGGAGCAGGAATGAGGGAGCAGGAACAGTGATATTTCGTGCCCACCCTGCCAAGAGGAGAAACCAGGAATGCGGAAATGGTTACCTTCTCCCTTTCCTGGACAGAGGAACATCTCCTTTCCTTGAAGTCTCCTGCAGAAGCTAAGAACTAAAAATTCCTGGCCGGGTGTGGTGGCTCATACCTGTGACCCCAGCCCTTTTGGGAGGCTGAGGCAGGCAGATCGCTTGAGGTTAGTAGTTTGAGACCAGCCTGGCCAACATGGTGAAACCCCGTCTCTACTAAAAATACAAAAGTTAGCTGGGGGTGGTGGCATGTGCCTGTAGTTTCAGCTACTTGGGAGGCTGAGGCAGGAAAATCGCTTGAACCCAGGAAGTGGAGGCTGCAGCAAGCCAAGGTTGTGCCACTGCACTTCAGTGCCTGGGTGACAGAGCAATACTCCATCTCAAAAAAAAAAAAAAAAAAAGAACTAAAAATTCCTTCCTTCAATCTGACCATGAGCTTTCCTGCTTCCCTTTCAACTCTGACTTCTCAGGAAATATGTAAAGTGTAATGGTGATCACTGAGGTCCCTAACCTTTCCAGAGCCTCCACTTGCTGTGCTTGGAGAAAAGCCAGACCAGAGTTGACCTCGTAGCTGTCAGGCAGAGGATATGACGAAAAAGATATGGGCTGAAACCACAGCAAGAACTGAAGTCAGAGTTGAGGAAGGGCTTTCTGACCACATAGGCTATGAGAGATGTGGAATATGTAACAGAGGAAGTTAGGGAAACTCTGTCCAGTGCATGAGGACTGAAAGAATCCCCTGAGACCTGTGTTTGGGGACAGAAGCCCCAGTCCACCAGAAGACCCTTCAGATAGAAACTGGGTTGTCCTTGCCTCCTCTCTCAAGCTGTTCCCCACCCACACCTCCCTTGATGGCCTTTCTTCCCCACACCCAGGACCAGGAGCTCTAAGCATACTCCCTGCTGTTCTGGTTCACAGGTTCTAATTCACTCCAGTTTTGGTGGCCCTAGCATGGCCCTGGGGACTGGTTTTCCTTTGCCCTGTTTTGACTTCTGTCTGGGGGACAGGGAGGTGTAAACAGTCACTAACATAGAACCTGGGGTGATGGTCAGGGTAGCTGCTTGAGAGGCCAACAATCTCAGTTTGTTGGGAAACTGATAGGGCCGAGACAAGGGATTTTCAGTGCTAAAACTCGGGAAGTCCTGGGCCAGCTGGGATGAGTTGGTCACCTTAGTGACCACAGGTGTGTACCTGTGGATGTCCCCTGAAAAGAATCCCATTCTATGTCCCCCTAATTAAAGATGTCAGGATCTAGAACCGTTTTTAAACCTAGATATAGATTCCAAAAAGTGGGGGCAGAGAAGTATTGGGGAAGGGGCTAGGAATAGCTAACAGCATCTTGGAAGGAGCCCAAACTTGGCAGAGAAAAAAAGAAGAGGAGGCTGGGTGTGGTGGCTCAAGCCTGTAATCTCAGTACTTTGGGAGGCCAAGGCAGGTGGATCACGAGGTCAAGAGATCAAGACCATCCTGGTCAACATAGTGAAACCCCGTCGCTACTAAAAATACAAAAAATTAGCTGGGCATGGTGGCGCGTGCCTATAATCCCAGCTACTCAGGAGGCTGAGACAGGAGAATTGCCTGAACCCAGGAGGCGGAGGTTGCGATGAGCCGAGATTGCGCCATTGCACTCCAGTCTGGGTAACAAGAGCGAAACTCTGTCTCAAAAAAAAAAAAAGAAAAGAAAAGAAAAAGAAAAAAAGAAGAGGTGTCACTTTCCTGAAAAAAATTATTCCTGTCCTCTAAATATTCCTGCCATTCCTCATAGCCCCTGGTGGTCAACCCCCAGACTTCCCTGAGTGAGTGCCTGCTCCTGGGCCCCTTTTCACATGAGGTGGCCTTTGTAGGGATGATCAGATGATCAGAGAGGAAGGTAAGTCTCAGACTCCCAGGGCCCCTACACCACTGTCCACTCCTTGTGTGCATCTCGCACCCACTGGACCAAACACAAGATTTGCAGGAAAAGTTTCCTTTTCAAATCCACAGATTCACTTTCCCCTTCCAGAGCCATTTCCTCCCCCAGAGGCTTTTATAAACCTCAGATAATGGATCCCATTCCTACCCCTCATCCAAGCTCCCATACCTCTTTTTCCATTGTCTCCTTTATTTCCAGAGTGGTTCTATGGTTTGGCCTGTGGAACCAGGGTACCTGGGCTGCGGAGGGAAGGACAAGATGCCACCGAAGGCCAGCACTGCCCAACCCTGGCTTGACCCACAGAGAACTAGGTGGCTTCTGTACAACTCAGGCATAAAGAACCACGAGTCCGTGGCGGGGGATAAGGGGGAGCACACTTAAGTCACCACCTAATGGCTTCCCAGTGTATTTCACAATAACAGCTATTGGCAACAAGTAAGCAGTGCTGGCACATGGGTACATGCCAAACTGCAAGCACGAAATAGTCCTTAACAGGGACCATCACCACACTCATAATCCCTCAGTTTGGAGGAAACTGAGCCTTCCCCAGGTGTATAGTAATCCTACCCAGACAGATCCAAACTCCAGTCAAAGGGTCCCCAAACGTTCCAGAACACTGAGCTCCGGAGGGTGGGGGAATGGAAAGGGACAGGCAAGGGCAGCAGGTTGTACGGTTTGGGGTCAAGGGTCCCATTCCGGACCGTCCTTCTCCATCCCACCCCCGGGGTCTCCATTGCCTCGGCCCTGCCCTACCACTTTTAGCTGAGGAGTAGTTCGGAGTTCCATGGTCCCCTCCCTAGAGCGGCCGCCCCCTCGGGCCTCCCCGGAGCCTTCGAAGAGCCGCGTGAGGAAACGGGGACCTGCCCGGGGCAGCAGATCCCCAGCGGTGAAGACGTAGAGCACCGGGTTGACGCTGGAGCTGAAGAAGGCCAAGGCCGTAGTTCCTGCTCGCGCCGCCTGGCCGGCCCCGCCCAACTTCGCCAAGGCCCCTTCGGGTGGAGCCAGCGCGGCGACCGCCTGCAGAAGGTTGACCGCGTGGTAGGGGGCCCAGAGCAAGCCGAAGGCAAGCACGATGGTGCTCACCAGCCGGCCCACGCGCGCCCCGTGCCGCCCGGAGCCCCAGCGGGCGCCCCGCAGCCGCGCCAGCGTCACACTGTAGCAGCCGAGCATCAGCCCGAAAGGAAGCACGAAGGCGGTCAGAGTCTCCAGGCTCAGGTGGGCGGCGGCGTGGGCCGGCGACGGGTGGCACAGCTGGCACACGCGGTCCCGCCACAGGTGGCGGTAGACGGCGGCCGGGACGGCGAGCAACAGGGCGGCCAGCCAGACGGCCAGCAGCAGGCGGCGGGCCAGGGCCGGGCTGCGCAGCCGGGGCGCCAGGAAGGGGCGGGTGACGGCGAGGCAGCGCTGCAGGCTGAGCAGGCCGGTGAGCAGCACGCTGGCGTACATGCTGAGCGCGCACACGTAGTACACCGCCTTGCAGCCCGCCTGGCCCAGCGGCCAGGCCTGCCCGGTCAGGAAGGCCACGAAGAGCGGCGTGAGCAGCAGCACCGCGCCGTCGGCCAGTGCCAGGTGCAGCACAAGCGTGGCCGCCAGCGGTCGCCCCCGCGCTGGCCGCCAGCCCGCCAAGCTCCACACCACGAAGCCGTTGCCGGGCAGCCCCAGCAGCGCCGCCAGCAGCAAGAAGGCTGTGCCTGTGGCCCGCGAAGCCTTCCAGCTCAGCAGTGTCTCATTCCCTGGGGGACGGTAGCAGACCGACATCCTTCTGGGCCTACAGAGGGGTGGAAGGGGCCACAGAGGGCGTTCAGGGGTGGGGCAAAACCCCACCTGTGATGCCCGATGAGAAGGGGCCATGCCTCCTCCTGACTTCCCTGCAGCCTGCCTCTTTTCTGCCTGTGAGTCCTGACTTCCACGAGGACCCAAACCCCACCTGAAACACTACCCCTTCTTGGAACCCAAATCCCCTGCTCCCAGTCAGTTGACCTGCCGGACGCAGACTCCTGGCTCCTTCCCAGAGCTCAGTGGTAAATGGGCATAAAGTCCTCACCCCAGGCTGTCACTATCTCTACCATCACTCCTTTAGTCTGGCCTCTCCTTCTTTCCAGCCCCAATCCAAGTACCTCTGGGCAAAAGTGGATGGTGAGGTGTAAAGGTGGGCAGATCTACTTACCAAGCTGGGAGCAAGCACGATTAGGGCCTTGGGAAGCTGAAAGGTTAAGCAACAGTGGCCGAGGTGCCTACTCCTGTCCTGTGCCTGTCACATTTGCAGAGGGCAAGGCAAGAATGGGGAGGGACAAGATGAAGCTCATCCAGGGCCTCTCCTGGGGCCCCTCCCTCACCTCACTCCTTCCCATCACCAACGCATCCAGGCGTCCAGGCATGTGAGAGCCTGCCTTGCCAGGAAACAGCATAAGCTGAAGGGGGACAGATAAGATTACCTGGCCGTGGAAGAGAATAGGAGAACTCTGCTGAATCCTGACCCTGGTCCTGCTTCTCTTCTCATCCCTCCCCCAGCTCTGGCCCCAATTCCCCCAGTCCACATTCTACAGTGTGTATGTTACCTGGCCTCTCTGGCCTGTAGAGGTGAGCCAAACAACTCAGCCCCCCAGCTGCTCTATCTTTGCCTGTTTCCAGCTTCCTGGTCCAGCTGAGTCCCTTTTCTTCAACTCCTGGCCTACCTCGTCCCATCTCTTGCCTTGGGCCCTGCCCCAGTCACTCTACCCTCAGGGATCTCACCAGGCTGTCAATGACAGCTTTTCCATGGTGGCATGGTGCCAGATTCCAGGAGGAACGGGGGATGCATGGAGGTATAAGGGGCTTATAACCTGGTTAGGGAGTCATGACATACAACCATGAAGAGACCCCACTACCAGCCTCACCAGGATACAAGATAAGAAAGAAAAGGATGCAGTAGTAGAGACACACTAAGAAGCAGCCCTTTCTTCTTGGAAAAGTCAAGCAAAACTTGTAAATGAAGAAATCTGAGGGGGGCCTGGCCAATCGATAAGAGTTGGGGTAAGGGAAAAGAAAGGCCTCTGCCCAAGTAACAGCCAGAACTTGAGGTTCCTTGGGCAGGGCACTAGGGTCATTTTCTTAGTTTGGGTTCTCCCAAAGCAGAGCTTGAACTAAGGGCTTGGTTACAGGTAATCCTGTACTTGGGAGGCTAACTCAGGAAGTGAGGGCATAGAGTAAGACAAGAGAGAGGAAAGCCATTAAGAGTGTGTGAAGTCCCTTCATTAGGCCTTGGGAACCTCTGAGAAAAGTACAGATTGCCCAAGACAAAAAGACTGCCAGGTGATCAGTCCAAAGCATTTATTAGGAGAACTTAATGAGTGGGCTGCAGCATATCCTCACAACAGACAGTGAAAGAAAGAGTTGTTCTACCAAAGTCTGTCCAAAACAAGAGGGTCAGGGTATGGAGTTTATGAGGGTTCAAGGACTTTGGCTCAGGGCCAGGGCCAGTTTCTTTCGGTGTTTTGGGCAACAACCTGAATACCTTGTCAGTGCCTGGTAATGTTCGAGGCTCTGGCTTGGGCTCAAGCCCCCAGGGGAAATGCAGCTGGCCAGGTGACAGAACCAACAAGTTACTCTGTGTTTCTTTGTCAGGACACAGAAAAAAAGTGGGGAAGCTGGGGACCTTACAAGGATCCTGGGCAGGAAAGCAGGGATTGTGTTCATTTGAGGGTTTCACCGGCAGTGAGAGTCTCAGCTTCCACGCAACTGTCCATCACAGCTGCAACTGAAATCAGAGCTAGGACACAGTGCACCAAAAGCTAAAGTTTTTTTTTTGTTTTTTTTGTTTTTTTTTTTGTTTGTTTGTTTGTTTTTTTTTTTTTTTTGAGACGGAGTTTCGCTCTTGTTACCCAGGCTGGAGTGCAATGGCGCGATCTCGGCTCACCGCAACCTCCGCCTCCTGGGTTCAGGCAATTCTCCTGCCTCAGCCTCCTGAGTAGCTGGGATTACAGGCACGCGCCACCATGCCCAGCTAATTTTTTGTGTTTTTAGTAGAGACGGGGTTTCACCATGTTGACCAGGACAGTCTCGATCTCTTGACCTCGTGATCCACCCGCCTCGGCCTCCCAAAGTGCTGGGATTATAGGCTTGAGCCACCGCGCCCGGCCTTTAAAAGCTAAAGTCTTGATCTTGTCAAAGGACATCCCTGCCCCATTCACATCTCCTTCATGTCCATTAATTGGCAGAAGGGGAAAAGTGAGAGAGAGATGACTTAAGTGTGGCCGAAGCAGGCAGTTCTGGAAAATGAAGCCAGAGCAATGGGCCAGCCTGTCCCTTGACCAAGGAGGAAGGAGCAGGTAAGCAGGAAGGCCAGCTTCCCAGACAGGACCCTGAACCCATGGATCAGGATCCTGAACCCATGGATCAGGATCCATCCTCTCCTCACACCCTTCCTGGACACAGCCTCACCTCTCATTTTCCAAAGCCCTGCCATGCTGCCATCCCGCTTCCCGACACTCAGCAGGGGTTCCCTTTTCCTAACGCTGCAGCTTACGGCTTCTCCAGTAGGTGGCAGCATACACAGAGCTGCGCGCAAAACGCAGCTTCTCAGAGCCTGGAGCCAGAAACCGTCCCTAGAAATTCCCTCCATAGAAATACAGAAACACCAGAGGTCACATTTCATCCTTTTACACGGTTCCCATCTACCCTCACAACACATGCCATCACCAAAGACATACAAACAAGCTCCGGTGGCTTTTGCTGGGCAGTTCTTCCTTCAGGACCATATCTGGCCCCTCCTTCATCCCTCCCCTTGGACTTTGCCCTTCTTACAGGCCAGGCAGGGGGGCCAGAGTCCAGGCTTGACTCATTCCCACCTCATCCTGGGCTGAGATATCAGGTTTGTAACAGAAAACACCACTGAAGCCCCAGCATAGCAGAGAGCCACTCAGCCCAGAAGTTCCAGGGAAGAAGGAACTCTCCGGTCCACCATGGAGTATCTCTCAGCTCTGAACCCCAGTGACCTGCTCAGGTGACTGCTAACCCTCCGCCGTACCCCCCACCTTTAGGGGATATGGGCAGGGCAACAAAACTCCATTCAGCCCCTAGGAGACTCAGCAGTACCCTCCCTCTCCTGCTCCTCACACCACAGTGAGCTTATCAAGCTCCTGAGCCACCCACAGCCCACCTGCACTCCGTGGTCTCTACCCCATCCCTAATCTGCAAACCATTCCTCCCTCACCAGCCGTCTAGCCACCCCCATCATGCCCTTTACACTCATCAAGCCCCTCCTTGCTCCTTCTTGACTTTTCTTCCCAACTACTAGGTCAGTATCTAGTATAAGCTCGGAGTTTGGACGGAGGGTCTGGACCTCAGCTCCACCACCCCAGCGACCTTTCCGTGTCTGTGATCACAAGCGGACCATACGGAAAGGCCTGACAGCTGCCACCCGCCAGGAACTGCTAGCCAAAGTAAGTAGGCCAGGTTCCTCGGTTCCTATAGCAGGGGCAGCCAAGGGGCTCGAGAATAGTGACAACTCGGGATGATGGAGCAGAGACGGCTGAGGTCACACAGCTGCCCCTCTCTCTGAGGGCGCAAAACAGTGGGGTGGGCCTAATGACCTCCAGTCAATTTGTTCATTTTCCACAGTGAGCTTGTCTATGGGAGCAGGGGAAGCAGTGGATAGGGAAAGCTGGAGGGATGGAATTTAGAAGCCAGTATGGAAAGGCAATTTGTATGACAAATTAAGTTCAAATTCTGCCACCTCCTGTCAAACCCTCTGCTGTACCCTCCACCTTTAGGGAATATGGGCAGGGCAACAAAACTCCATTCAGCCCCTAGGAGATTCAGCAGTTCCCTTCCTCTCCTGTTTCCCACTCCACAGTGAGTTTGTCAAGTTATTCAACCTCTCAAAACCTCAGTTTCTTCATCTATAAAAAGGCAATAATACACCACCTCCTAGGGTTGTCGAAAGGAGTCAGAGGATAACGTAGGTAAAGTCCTCATACCTGGCACAGAGTAAGGACTCAAAACGGTTAAACACTATTACTGAAGACACTTCTGGAGAACTCCGAGGGTGTGGGAAAGTGAGGTGCTGCACTGTAGGACAGAAGGGTGGACTTCATGAGAACCTGGCTTGCTTTCCAATTCCAAAACAGGAGTAACTTGGAGGGGAGCAAGGGGAGATGCCAATGACATGGTAGGAGCAAAGAGGAACAAGGTCAGCCTCCAGCTAGGATCCCCCAACAACTGAAGAACACTGAGCAGTAGCCTTTAGGAGGGATGGCAAAGTCCCGGGAAGTCGAGGTGGGACATCAACCAATGTCTAGGCCCAACTGATGGATGTTGGGCAGCTAGTGAGGGAAGGGATACGGGGTAAGACCTGCCCTTCCTTTCTGCTTCTTGCCCTTGGGCAGGCATTGGAGACCCTACTGCTGAATGGAGTGCTAACCCTGGTGCTAGAGGAGGATGGAACTGCAGTGGACAGTGAGGACTTCTTCCAGCTGCTGGAGGATGACACGTGCCTGATGGTGCTGGAGTCTGGTCAGAGCTGGAGTCCCATCAGGGTGAGGCCTATACTGGGGCTGCTTCCACTGCCTATCCTTTATAGCTCTCCCATTTCCTGTCTAGCCTAACCCTGATCCTGGGGATAGAGGTGCAGGGGTAGTTGCGGAGGATGTCACACAATGGACAAGTCCAGGCCAGGGAGGGTCTGACCCAGTGCTGATGGGGATTAGTGGTGGATGTCTGGTGTGAGGATCTACTGCACTGATGGGCGTGTCCTACAGAGTGGAGTGCTATCATACGGCCTGGGCCGGGAGAGGCCCAAGCACAGCAAGGACATTGCCCGCATCACCTTTGACGTATACAAGCAAAACCCTCGAGACCTCTTTGGCAGCCTGAACGTCAAAGCCACATTCTACGGGCTCTACTCTATGAGCTGTGACTTTCAAGGACTTGGCCCAAAGAAAGTACTCAGGTCAGAAATCAACGTCATACTTCCCCATCCCTTACAGTCGGATAGTCCCCATCATTCCTCCTCCTGCACCCACCTAACCCTAGTTAGCTCTCGCTTGTGCAAAGTCCTCGTCTCCCAGCTTGACAGCCTCCTCCCAGGTTTCCCAAATCATCTGATTTCCTCTTATCTCTGCCCTTCAGGGAGCTCCTTCGTTGGACCTCCACACTGCTGCAAGGCCTGGGCCATATGTTGCTGGGAATTTCCTCCACCCTTCGCCATGTAGTAGAAGGGGCTGAGAAGTGGCAGCAGAAGGGCCGCCTCCATTCCTACTAAGAAGGGCCTCTAAGCTTCTGTCCGCAGACCCATTCCAAGAGACACACTGCAAACACTGTGACAGCATCAAGTTTCAGGAGCTGAAGACTGTACAGGCTAGATAACTTACCCAGTTTCCCCACTGTCCTCTGACCCCCTCATGACAGAACCTTTCAGCATAATGCCTCACATCCCAAGTCTATACCCTTACCTGAAGAATGCTGTCCCTTCCTAGCCACCTTTCTGCCTCCCACTTGCCCTGAAAGGTCACAAACCTATCCCCAGGCATCTTGATCTGAGCTTGTTTGCTGCTACATCTAATCTCCTACCAAGGCCTCCTGTCCTTAAACTCCCCAGCATACTGATGACAGCCCTCTCTGACTTTACCCTGAGATCTGTCTTCATACCCTTCCCCCAAAAATAACAGAAACATTTCCAATAAAAATATAAAATATTTACTACTAAGGCTTTTGACTCCAATTTGAACAGGAAAGGGATGGGATGGATACTCCCTTTTGCCCTCCCCCATCAACACCCAGTCCCAGATCCAAAGCCTCAGTCTTCAAGTATGGAGTTCAATGCCCGCCTCCGCTTGGCCACCGCACCCTGCTGCTGTTCCCAAGCCTCTCGCCGCTTTAGGAACGTAGTCAAGGCCACATTTCGAGCCACATGGTGGCCAAAAGGGTCTCTTATCAGCTCCTGGTTCTTCTCTCCTGCAAAGGGAATCACTCATCTTTAGTACCACCCATGCTCAAAGACAAACTCTACCTGAGGTAAAGATCCCTCCATTTCCCCCAGACCCTGGGACCGCCACTGGGATAAAATGAACACCTCACTTTCCAAAGAACAGAAGTCAGAGGGCGGGGTGAGGGCAGAGAACTGCACAGTTAGTCAGCAGAAGGGAAGGGGAAAGTAGACTGCTAAGAACCCATGAGCAAGACCACCCTTTGGAACCGAAGACTGTTAAATTTCAGTGGACTCCCCTACCACCCAGAGATCTGGAGTAAAAGAAGGGAAAGTCTGAAAACATCAAAGAGAGGGGTTGGCACTCACCCAGCTCAGCAGCAATTTCCTTCCGGGCCCCCAAGGCTGCTCCAATCCAGATGGCATCTAGCACACGGCTGCCATGGCGACTACAGGCCAGAGCCACATATTGTCCCTGTATTGAGACAAACAAAGAAGGTCCCCCTACCAAAGTCCACAGAAGTGTATTTTGGGGGCCTGCAGGGAGTGAATTTTCTGAAGAGTTTAGGGGCTGAGTTAAAATAGTCTAGGAACTACATAGCCTCTTTGCATCTGAAGGTATAGTACTGGGGAAGGTCATAGTCTCTAAATGGATAATGGTGGGGAATCAAGGCAGAAGCCAGAAATCTAACCTTTAGGTTCTGCAGCACACGGCGGCGCTGCTTGCGCGTCACAGAGGGGCTGGTCAGGATGGCATCGAGCACATGAGAGCCAGCGGGACTTTGGGCCAGAGCCAGAAGTTGTGGTCCTGTCAAGCCACCCAGACTTTGAAGTACAAGACCAGGAGTAGAGAAGTGCAGCAGATGCTGCAGCAGTAGAGATCCAAGAACTGTCACGTCCCCCAAGGCCCTGGCTGAGGCTGTTTCTACCTGGGAACACAGAGATAGGAAATTAGGAGGCACCAACAAGCCAGGTGGATGAGCCCATCCCCAGGACACTGCCACCTCCACCTGGATGAAATCACTACTCTCACCTCAGGAGTCAGTGGCTTACTAAACCCTGGGAAGCCTGGCTCCCAATCAGTCACCAGCTTAGCTTCTTCCCTATCTCACCTGGTGCTCCGCAGGCACTGCCCCCTCCTCTTCCGTCAGTCCATAGTACACCTCATAAGCCATCAAAGTGGCAAAGAGAGGCACACAGGCCAATTGCCGGGATGAGGGCTCTGCACAGTGGAATGCCTAAAGGAGAAGACAAAATATGATGAATGTGAGAATTTCTCCATCCCTAACCTCAAATTTAAGGGAACACCTTCAGGAAAGGAAAGAATGCCTAATTCCATGACAGCAGAATTTCATGCCTTGCTGTATCCCCAGACTCTATCACATACAGAGGTTAATAAACATTTATCCCTTAAATAAACTTCCCTCTTAGCTCTGGGAGACAATTTTTATTCTAGGACTGTGAAATAACATTTGGCCTCAGCCAGGCACAGTGGCTCATTCCTATAATCCCAGCACTTTGGGAGGCTGAGGCAGGACGATCCTGTTTGGTAATGGATTGTCTGAGGTCAGGAGTTCGAGATCAGGCTCGCCAACATGGTGAAACCCCATCTCTACTAAAAATACCAAAAAAAACCACAAAAACAAAAACTAGCTGGGTGTGGTGGCAGGCACCTATAATCCAGCTACTTAGGAGGCTGAGACAAGAGAATCACTTGAACTAGGGAGGCAGAGGTTGCAGTGAGCCTATCTGGCACCACTGAACTCCAGCCTGGGTGACAGAGCAAGACTCTGTCTCAACAACAACAAAAATCATTTGGCATCTTTTTCCCCATTCCTGTAAACTCCTTGGGCATTAGACTTCCTGATTCCAAAGGTACAACAACTTAAGATTAGATAAGTCCTAACTGGTAGGAGTTGGACTGATGGCATAAACAGATTATGGGTAATATCTACTTACCTCCAACAAGAGCTGTAGGACCTTGGCTTGGTAGGCCCCAACTCTGCGACAGGCCCCCACCAGGGCAATGACTACACCTGGGTGGCCCTGAGCCAATACAGCTTCTAGGACAGGGCTCAGCTCCTCAAACACAGGGGACAGCTGATGGGAAACATAGGATGTGACTGTGGCATTCTGGTAATGGTAGACTACATTATTCAGAGAAATCTTCCCACTGAAAACAACTAAAAATGCTAGATAAATAGCAATGCCAGTATCAGGACTTTTGTTTGGATAGATAAGACCCAGGACAAGGGGGCAGTCTTAGAGGTGCCACCTCACAGGAAGGAACTTTAAGTGGCTTTCCCTATGTGTAAGGGAGAACTAGTGGGAATGGGAGACTAAAATTAAACCTGCCCTTCCACTCTAACCCCCAATACATGAGACCACAGGGAAGCCCACCTTGGAAAAGAGAAGCTATGGCAATAGCTCTAGCACTCATGTGGACTTATAGGCAAGTACCAGAGTCTGGGTGGGCCATAGAACCTCAAGCTGTAAACTTAAATGAAGCCAGTCTCTTGCTGGTCCTCATACCTGAGAGAAGCCAAAACAAATTCTCACTAGAAGGTGGGCACCTTTATCCTGAGCTCTGGAAAACCTCAAGGAATAATTTTTCAAGAGGAATGGCCAGCACAATGTCAAAAATATATAGAGGCAGGCACACCATAAAATAAGATCTAATGATCAAGAATTAGCAGAAACAGATCCAGCCCAGGTTTCCAACTCACCAGTTCAGGGGTAGTGACTGCATCCAGTAAGCGCTGCAAAGGGAAGTTGGCAATGGGATGTGCAGCCAGGGTCTGCAGCTGCCCCTGCAAATGCTCCTCAAAGAGGCTCTGGAGCCTTGGGGGCTCCAACACCAGCAGGACCTGTTCCAGGAGTCTGGAGCTCGTCTGATCTCGGAGAAATAGCAGTAGGGGACTAGGGACAAGAAGGGCATCAGGCAGTCTTAACTCCATTTCATGCAAAATCCAGTTGCACTACATCACCTCACTCATTTCACACAGCCCCACCAACTTTGGTCAGTCCTAAGACCCGAACATACCTGCCATCTACTGAGGAACTGCGAGTACTCAGGTAGCTAATCACAGCATTGCAGAGATAGGCACAAAACTGGGGTAGTTTGCAATGTAAGACCTGTAAGGCCACTTGAAGACAGAAGCTGGAGATCTTATCAGTGATAAATACTGTGGAGAGAGGGCAGAAATAAAGCAGCTTTCTCAAAATCCAGACAACCTGCATAACCTCAAACTTTAGGCAAAAAGATACAGGGCACTACGTACACAAAGGGACTATACAAAGTGCTTTCAACATCAAACCAGCCCAGGTTTGAAAAGAGGACGAATAACCTGACCCAAGGGCCTTGCTTGGTAATAATCACGTCCAGGAAAGTAGGTATGAGACCCTCCTTCTACTTCCCTTCTTACCTGCAATGTCCTTCAGAAAGCAGGAGCTCAGGTCCTGAAGGCAATTCAAGAAGGTTTCAGGGACTTCAAAATCAGCTGGCTTACATTCCCGGGCTGGGGCCCTCTGTGCTTCTGAAGGAAGATTAAGAACATGTGCAGCAGGGAGATCACAAACTGCCACCCAAGAGAGAACAATTCCATAGATGAACAAGGATTCTGCTTGGAGATGCAGAACATTTGAAGTACAACTGAAAGTCTCTTCTGGATGACTGAACTGAGACTACATTTCTGTCTTAATTTTTCTAAAAAGCTTCAACCAGCTTCCCCATGGTCCACAGAAGACAGTTCAACCTCCTCAGCCAGGTATTCAAGGCATTCCAAAATCAAGTCTCTAAATTTAAACTCTCTAACTTTGTTTCCTAGAGTTTTTCCAAATGTGGATCACAACCCAAGACTGTATCATGAAATCAAGTTAGTAGTCTTGACTAGCATTCTTTTTTTAATTAAATAGAGCAGAATAAAGTTTGGAAAAGTAAAGAAAATAACACAGTGGGCTGTATGTAGTAAGGGTATTGTTTCCTGAACTTCTGATTGAGTCCAGTATACACACATTTGTATGTTAAGCCATGCTTTTAAAAAAAAAATATATTGGCCGGGTGCCGTGACTCATACCAGTAATCCAGCGCTTTAGGAGGCCAAGGCGTGAGTTTGAGACCAGCTTAATCAATACGGAAAAACCCCATCTCTACTAAAAATACGAAATTAGCTGGGCGTGATGGCAAGTGTCTGTAATCCCTGCTACTAGGGAGGCTGAGGCAGGAGAATCGCTTGAACCCAGGAGGAAGAGGTTGTGGTGAGCCAAGATCACCCCATTGCACTCCAGCCTGGGCAACAAAAGCAAACTCCATCTCAAAAAAAAAAAAAAAAAAAAAAAATTCTCCTTCTGCATCCATTCTAACAGCTATCTCCTAAACACAATTGTACATCCTTACCTCTGGGCCTCTGCACAGACTAATCTTTGGCCTGCTAAGCCCTGTTCAGATTAGGACAGGTCAAGCTAATTCTTCCAGGTCAAGCTCCCCCATGAAGACTTACTCTTCTATTTACTGTCTCCTTCTGAACTTTCTAAATTCTTCTTCCCACTAGGTCCACTTTCCTCTTGTAATACTTACCAGATGATTGGGAACCACGAGGCCTGGCTCTCTCAGACTCCAGAATAGTCCCTCCTAACACCTGCAGCAGAGTTCTGACCACGAAGCTGCCATGTGTGTCTCCACAGTAGAAGAGAAAATCATCACACACTTCAGCGGCTAGCCCCAGGACCAGCTCCTCCAGGGTCTCCGTGGAACCATCATTCCCATCCTCCTCCTTCTCCTC